TGGGTGGCTTAGTCGGTTGAGCGTCCGACTTTCGCTTAGGTCATAATCTCGCGGTTTGTGGGTTCGAGCCCCGCATCGGGCTCTGTGCTGACTGCCAGCTCAGAGCCTGGAGCCTGTTTCAGTCTGTGACTCCCTCTCTCTCTGACCCTCCCCTGCTCATGCTGTCTCCCTCTCTCTCTCCTAGAAATAAATAAAAAAAAAATTTAAAAAAAGAAAAAAAAAGAAAATGAGATGGTTGCCCTAATGCCAGTGCCCCAGCCCCGAAAGCCATATAGGAGACACTCACAACATAGTGGGATTCCTGCTCTCTGTCCAGGGGCATTGTCACCTTTAGCTATCCTGTTTCTCTGTCCATTATAAACACACCATAAGGAGGTTTGTCAGCGCCCATGCCAGTGATGCTGTAGAAAACCCGGATTTCCTTGCTTTTGTCAGATTTGACCTGAGGACAACACAGAAGCAGAATAGCAAAGAAGGGCCCCAGTCAAGTATAAATCTGTCACCGTAGGGAACCCTAGAATGAAACCAGAGTCTCCTTTGCAATACCTGAGCCACCATTTTTGGGAATGGGCCTTTGTCATTCTCGCTGATGGAGATGGGAGGGACAACCCAGTCTCTCTTCTGCCTTCTGAGACCGAAGTGGGCATGAGGGAACATCAGCACCTCCATCTGATGTCCAGAGAGAGTACCCTAAAAGGACAGGAGGTGAGGGACCACAGCACAGGCTTAACTGTTCAGTAAAGCCGGCTCTTGTACACACCCACTGACTTGTTGGAGGGTCTTGTTGCCACGTAGATCTTCCACCAACAACCCCAGCTTCTGAGGGGTCTTGGGAGACCCCTCACTCAAAGGCATCCCTTGGGCAAAAAGCTGCAAAGCCAATGAGAAGCAGGTTAAGAACACAGGGGACAATTGTCTTTGGGACAATGTCCGTGGTCCAGCCTGGATGTCAGTACTCAGTGTTTTGATTCTTTCCAGAAAACAATGGCTTCCACCTCCACCGTGGCCTCCTGGGTTTCCCAGCACTTTCCTGTGGAGAGGATGCTGAGAGGGGGACTCTGAGACATCAAGGGAGGGGTTAGGTGGAACGAACATAGTCTCCCTAAATCCAGGAGATCAGAGAACTTTCTTGTGGACTGAATACAGTGCATGTTTTAGTCTATATAAAAACTAGGCCAAACTCTGGTATACAAACTCTTTCTGGAAACACTTTTCATGTCCAATGACAGAGGATTGGTTCAATCATAGCCCTATCCTGGTCGTGATGTCACAGTAAAACTGCAAGGAAGGTGTTCAGGATACTTTGTGAAGGGAAAGAGGCAGGCGAGAAAGTGGGATAAAGTAACTACATTTTTTAATGTTATATTTATTTCTGAGAGAGAGAGAGAGACAGTGTGAGCAGTGGAGGGTCAGAGAGAGAGGGAGACACAGAATCTGAAACAGGCTTCAGGCTCTGAGCTGTCAGCACAGAGCCCGACGCAGGGCTCGAACCCATGAACCATGAGATCATGACCTAAGCCGAAGCCAGTCACTTAACCGACTGGGCCACCCAGGGACCCCAGATAAAGTAAGATAAAGAAAGTAAGATAGAGGCTCTGTAGAGTTTGCGAAAGAAAAATGTACAAGTATCCAAGTGTGTGTGCAGTTATTTTCATGCAATGAACAGAAAGATGTAACTTGCTGTATTAATTGATGCTCCCTCTGAAAAATGGAATTATTTACTGGGTGGTTTTTATTTTTGGTATTTTCTTAACTTTTATTTATTTTATTTTGTTTATTTTTTAAATGTTTATTTGTGTGAGAGAGAGGCTGGGGGAGGGGCAGAGAGAAAGCGAGGACAGAGGATCTGAAGCAGGCTCTGTGCTCACAGGAGTGAGCCTGAACTCCATGGGGGACTCGAACTCACAAACTGTGAGATCATGTCCTGAGCTGACGTTGGATGCTCAACCAACTGAGCCACTCAGGTGCCCCATTATTTTTATTTTTTAAAGATTTTATTTTATTTTAATTTTATTTTTTTTCATTTATTTATTTTTGAGAGAGAGGGAGACAAAGTGTGAGTGTGTGAGGGGCAGAGAGAGAGGGAGACACAGAACCTGAAGCAGTCTCCAGGCTGTCAGCACAGAGCCCGATGTGGGACTCGAACTTGTAAACCATTAGATCACGGCCTGAGCCAAAGTTGGATGCTTAGCTGACTGAGCCACCCAGGTGCCCCCAAAGAATTTATTTTTAAGTAATCTCCACACCCAAAGTAGGGCTCTAACTCAGGACCCTAGATCAAGAGTTGTGTTTACTACTGATTGAGCCAACTAGGCATCCCTGTATTTTCTTAACTTAAAAAAACATAACTGCATATTATCAGAAAAAAAACAAAACAAAACAAAACAAAAACACAACCAAGTTGTTGCTGTTAAGTATGTTGGTGTTAAGTATGAGAGCAGGGCGCCTGAGTGGCTCAGTTGGTTAAATGTGAGACTTTGGCTCAGGTCATGATCTCATGGTTCCATGAGTTCAGGCCCCACGTCAGGTTCTGTGCTGATAGCTTAGAACCTGGAGCCTGCTTAGGATTCCGTGTCTCCCTCTCTTCCTCTCTGCCCCTCCCCTGATTGCATGCACTCTCTCTCTCTCTCTCTAAAAAAATAAACTGAAAAAAAGTTTTTTTAAAGTATGAGAACTTGCAGAATAAGATCTTAAAGTGCATGTATCAAAATGTTACAGGAGTTTTCTCTGGGTGATGAGATTAACAGCCTCTTATAAAAAGTATCTTAAAAAACTGTCTTTAGTAAATTTTAAGCAGTTTGACCTTTTTTTTTAAAGGCAGGTCTCTTCTTTTTTATATATATAGTTTATTTATTTTTGAGACAGAGAGACAGAGCATGAGTGGAGGAGGGTCAAAGAGAGAGGGAGACACAGAATCTGAAGCAGGCTCCAGGCTCTGAGCTGCCTGCACAGAACCCGATGTGGGGCTCGAACCAATGAACCCTGAGATCATGACCTGAGCTGAAGTCAGACGTGTAACCGACTGAGCTACCCAGGCGCCCCAGCTGTTTGGTCTTTGAAGACCAGCTGTGGGTGACATTACTCCACAGTGATAGTTCTTGGTTCAGATACTGGCTGGGTGATAGGACTGGGGCCAGACCTGGGCCAGAGAGAGCAGAGTCTTGGACTCAAAAACAAAGTTACTAGATTTCAGATAAGTTTACCCTCACGTGCTGCTTGGCTTCTGATTAGCCTTGCCCTTACCCCAGATGTGGAGACTGCTCTGCTGTTCTGGGTTGTTTGTCAACCGTCCTGGTGAATGACACCCACCTGCCCAGCTATTGTTTCCAAGGAAGCCGGTGGTGTTCTTACCTGGGTGGCAGACAAGCAGAGCAGGAAGCAGGTGGGGCCGGCCACAGCTGTGGTAGGTGCTGTGGTCACAGAGTGGTGTGTGATAGAGGCCACTGGCCACACTGTCCTGTTGCCTCAGCTGCTGACACCTGTTGCTCAAGGACTATCGACCTACCTGCCCATGGCAATCAGTGTCGGGGGAGGCGCTGGGAAGCCAGCAGGTGCAGAGGGCCACCAGGTGTCACAGGAGCAGGACAGTGGCCTCAGCTGAGGGCATCTTGGCCATCTACCAGGGAACAGAGACTCAGAATCCAGTGGGTGTCAGTTAGCAGTCATATCTCTGAGCCTCTCCTTCAAAATGGGGGTGCTGGCTGCCAGCAGCTGGCAATTGGGCAGGAGAGGAAAATACACACCTTGCTCCCTTGCAGAGGTGATCTGAGACCTTGTGAGATACTGAGGGCAAGGCTGAAGCCACTCGGGGGGGTCATACACCGTCATTTTCACAGCACAGGTCAACCCTGTTCTGTGAACGTGAGACTGCACAAGGATGTGGTAATAAGAGGTGGATTTCAGGGGGCCATCTTGCAGGCTGGTGGCCACAATGGCAATGAGGATTGTTGCTGCTGGGGAGGAAGAAGGAACAGACGTCTCCTCATCTTGAAGTGGGCAGCTTACCTGGAGAGTTTCAGGTCAGTTCTGGTGGGAAATGGAGGCAGAATCACCTGGCAGCTTGTGGGTTCTCCTCCCACTGTATTGTGAGGTCCTCCACCAGCATTATTCCTAACTTTGCCCTTTCTGCAGTGCCTCATGGGAAAGTCACAGAACATTGAGGGTTAGGGTGATTTCTCAGCATGAGGCTTTACAAGGAAGATAATTGTCCCATTTTCCTATAGGGAAAGAAAGCCACAGATACTCACCTTCCCTTACAAAAGCATAAGGGACTAGAGAAAATTGTATTGAATATTTATTATTGGAATCCACATAGTTCACGTAGAGAATCTTCGTGAACTGACACAGGGAGAGGGACAGAAGGAGCACTCTTAGAGGGCATGGGGTTTGGGTGACCCCTGGATGGCCCACACTCCTTTTGGGATCTCCTGTAAAGTGTGAGACTTGGCATTTAGCCTCCATGAAGCCATCCTAGTAGGAGCTGGACAGATTTACTATGCTTCCTCAGAAGCAGGGAGTACCTCCTACAGGAGAGGATGTGATAGTGGCTCTCAATCACCGTGCTTCCTGCAACACCATTGCATCCTCTTTGTATTGGAAGTCAGTTCTTGTTCTAAGAAAAGACATCAGCACCCTTACTTACCCAGTGGGGGATGCAACATGCTCACTTCATGTTCACTCCCCGTATTGCTACCTCCCACCCATCATGTCCATGGGCATTCTCTGCCCCTGGGGCACCATGGATCTTCTCTGTGAATCAGTGGCCATTCACTTGTGCGCAACTCCCCTGCTCATAGCATGCTCCACTGTCCTTTCAGACTTCACTTACCTCGCATAAGTTTAAAGAGAAAGTCGTTGAGAATTTCAGATGACCACAGCTGTGCATTACACCATATGGGGCCCAGGGACAAGGGAAGTGTGTTGTAGAAGCTGCTGAGCCATGGGCTCCATGGACATTGTGTGCAGATGGTACAGTGAGCGGGATCAGAGACTCACTTATGCTATGTTCGGTTCCTGTAGATGCTGACCCCAGAGTCTCTTCTCAGGAAGGGCCGGATGAAGGTCTTGTTGTCCAGGTTATTGTCAGTACTGCCTGCCTGTGTTGAGGGGGGTTCAGAGCTGCCCGGGCTCAGTGGGAAGGGCAGTGGCCTGGAGGGAGATGGACCTTCCCACTTTGCACCCGTGACCTCACAGCTCTTTCTCAGGGTTGCTGGGCCTGTGCAGAGAAAGCACTGGTATCTGTTCAGTTTATGAATCTGGCTCCCAGGCCCCTATCCTACCTACTCTCTGTCTTCCTTGTGCAGCATAAAGCCATTGAAGACATAGGCATCGGAAGTTGTGCAAGAGAGAGTAACAAAGAGGGAGGGACTTGCATTCTTGGCATCTCCGTGCCAGATTCTGCCTATGCTTACTCAACTTTAAACATCAAACCAAGTCCTGGGGTTACCATTCCCATTCTCCAGCTTATAAAACAGGCACAGATAGGTTGAGTATCTTGCTCTGTGTCACACAACTGGTGAGGGCAGAGCTGAGAATCAAACCCCCTATGGGCTGATATGGAGCTCATATGCTGTGCGCCATGAGATGCCAACCCTGACAGCACAGCGAGGAGAGTGAGAGACAGGAGGTGCGCCAGACTGAGCCAGGCGCATGGACACGCGTGCACATAGGTATGTATGAGTGTCCCCACCCCATGCCCCGGTGTTCACCTCTGAGGCTACAAGGGAGGAGGAACACCAGGAGAGGAGCCATGAGAAGCCAAGGGAGGAGGGTGACAGCAAAGGGCAGGGGTCTATTAGGGGAAAACACCATGCTTCCCAGGAGACTAGGGCATTCCCTTCCCTGAGGAGTCTGTCTCAAATCTTAAATTTCTCTCCCTGGCCTAGAAATTCTCTACAGATTCACTCCTGACTTAAACCTTTCCAGGGGTTAAGTCCCTGTGGAGACCTGGGCCAAGAGCATGAGTTCTCTGGTCCTTCTGGACCCTCCTGCTTTCAGTGATAAGGAGAGAATGAGGTGCATGATGTGGAGTTTGGATTTGTATGCACAAAAAATTTATTAGAACAGGAGGCCAAACACCATGGAGGGGGTTGGTGTCAGTATTCCCAAGAACACTCAAGCAACCCTCCCCTGTTTGAATACCTCATCTCTTGTCCTGAAAATAGAGGATTTGTTTAACCTGTTATATCTGCTCTCATTATATTCTTGGGGGGAGTGTAAGGGGTCCGTAGGCTTCTTCTGAACCTCCCTCAGAACTGGGGTATGGAGTGTGTGGTGGCTACATTTGTTCTCTATTGTTAGTTGAGATGCAATTTATTGGTAAAGCCTCACCCACACTCCCTAAACACAGGGCTTCTCCCCTGCGTGTGTCCTCTGGTGTCTGATGAGAGGTGACCTCCGTGTAAAGCCTCGCCCGCACTCCCTGCAAACATAGGGCTTTACTCCTGTGTGTGTCCTCTGGTGTGTGATGAGATCTGACTTATGACTGAAGTCTTTTCTAAGCTCATTGCGAACAAAGGGCTTTTCCTCTTTGTGTGTTCTCTGGTGTCTGCTGAAATGTGATCTATCATTGAAGACTTGCCCACGCCTCTATATTGGATTCTTATAATTCTTGACATTTCTACCCCCACGAATAATTTGCTTGTATCCTCTGAATTAAAATTCTGGCCTGTGCTGGGCCCTTCTTCCACCGTTCCCTCACACACTGTAGAGCTCCCCATTTGTCCTTTGCATGGGGTGGAAAATGCCCTTGAAATTCTCCTCTGCTTTATACTTTTAAGGAAAGGTCTGGACCTTTCTTTGATCTCTTGACCTTTCGCTTTGTCATTCCAGCTGTGTGGATCAGAATGTTGCTGCTGCTGCTGCTGATTCTGATCGCCTGGGCAGAGCTTCTCTGGTTGGAAATGTTTTCTTGCAGATATTCGTGGGAGGCCCTGAGAAGACTGCTTGCATTCCACATGTTGGCTGAAGAACTTCTGATTGGAGACGGCCAGAGAGCAGGAGGGACATTGATGGATCTCTGGCTTTGGTTCTGCTGAAAGAGGAAATTTTTGGTCAGGTAGATGTTGTGTTGTATGCTTTGTCTCCTGGTAAGGCCTGCCCCACTACTCATCTTTATTGTGCTGACAATGCAAGATCTGTCCCCTGCCAAATGTTCATTTATTTTTCAATTCCACTCTTACTTATTACATCGTCTGCATAAATCCAGAAAGCCCATATCATGGGTCTTTTTTATGTATCGCCCAGACTAGGTACCTTCAAGTAGCATCAGAGGCAGCTTCCCTCCTTATAGAGGTGGAACTACAATGACCTTTCTCCACATGCAAGCACCTTCTAAGTCATATGACTCTGTGACAGTATCTGCAGTGATTTTATTCTATTGAGAGGCAATAGCCCTTTGATGACTTAGATGGAACGTGGCAGTAAATAGGAACTTGAGCCTCCCCATTTAAAAAGACATATTTAATTAAGGACCAATATGTGTCTGGATCTCTATCTGAATATGGGATTTAGATTGGACGAGACAGAGCAGTGCAGTCTCATGGCTCTTGCTGCCCCAACTAGGTTATAAACTGCTTCTTTTTCATTTTCCACAAATCATAACATGAAAATGTATCCTTCATACTTTATTTTATTTGGTCTTAGCTCATTTAAAATACAGCAGGAAGTCCTTTCAAAATATTTCCTCAACCAAGAATGGGGATATATATCACACTCCCAGTTACCATTCATCTTCTGCCAACCCATCATCCTCTCTCACTTAGAGATGAAGTCATCTCGGGGGAGGGGGGGCTTCTTCACTGCAGTCCCTCTCCAAAATTAACCGAAGCATCAACTTAAAACAGAGAACAGGCCACTCTCCACTTGAAAATTGCACAATTGTTCTGGCTCAGTCGGGAAGCCCTCCCAGTGTCTCAGCATGGACCACAGGCTGTAGGGCGTACGTATCTATGTTTCTGTGGGGTCTCAGCCACACACCACACATACCCCACCTCTCTTGTGCCCAAGGGCCTCTCTCCTAGGCGGCCTCCTCTGCCTGCAGTCCTTTACCCACGGGTGTTTGCACACCTCACATGTTACCTCCAGGGAGAGCCCTTCCCTGTCCAAGCCCGGCCACACCCCATCCTCCCCTCACACTGGTCCCCAG